TGTTATATCGAGGTCACGTAGTTGTTGTATAGACTAAAGCGTAAGTAGAGGTTGATAAACCTCAAGGTTATATTCTTCCTTCCATCCCTTTTTTAAGAATGGAGAAAACAACAGCAATCTTCATTGGAGCAGGATAACCTGTCTTTACTGTAAATACTCTTTTCATGAGACAAGTAGTTAAAGTAATCTTTTTGAGAAAGAGAGAGAGGGAGAGAGAAAAGGAGAGAAAGTGAACTGACGTATCGGTTTCCTAATTTAGAGTCTATATGGTAATATTTGACGAATGCGTAGCATTTTACCGGTTCTCTGTACATTTCTACGAAAAAGTCAACAGATGTAAACTTAAAAAATGGTTTGAATTAGTTTAAGAAACGCTTTCGATAGTACATCAAGTTAATTTTCAAGTTTAAAATAGAAATATGAAGCAGTGCGATTTTGTCCTCCTTTTCTAAACAATTTCCTTTATTAATTTCTTAGTGGCCTTGTAATCGTAACGATCACTAATGTCAAGTCTAACTTTGTGTCGTTAATTTATCGGGAAAATACTTTGTTGTGGAAGACTTTGGATGATCAGAAATGGATATGTAATGGTGCTTTGAAAACTTGTACACGCAGGAGAATTGCCATCTGGCTTTTTAGGCTTCATGCTGTATTCAAAATTACAAAGAATATAAAGTGGTTTCTGTTTTAACGTACTCATATATCACTCCTCATCAGTGTTACACAACGTTTTGTCACATTTGTTTTAAAATTTGCTTTTCCTTTTGATGAAAAGGACAGCAATAATTGATGTTGACTGGCGACACATAATGTTTTCTTGATCTCCATCGACTTCTTCTCAATAAGAAGATTTTGGCTCTTTAAGCATCATTAGGTGCGGTAACGATACCGGTAGTTTCGAAAATAGATAAGTCGGGAAGAATTAAAATAATTTGTGTGTCGTTTTTCCGAGACTGAATGACAATGTCATGATAATGAATCGAAGTGGCATTCTGAAGTGAAAAAAGGTTATTTTGTGATTGGGAATAAAAACATCCGAATTTATCCAGAAAGTGAGGACCGTCACCATTTATATTCATTGTACTGTATGTACCATTTTTATCTTCATTTTAAATTCTTTCGTTTTGGTGAAATGGAGGATATGTGCAAAAAATTGTAGCGTAACGGAAAATTAAAATGATGAAGAGATGCTGAAGAGAATCCATGTATCTCGTTGCATAAGTTTGACAATCTGACGATAAATGTGATCGTTGCTTTCTAGTCTTTATTGAAGAGTAGAGCAGTGATGGGTGGTTTGCAGCAAACATGATAAAATGCGCCAGCACTCTTTCCTAACCATCCTTCTTATTTTGTCAAATTTCATGATTGGTATGGAATCTTCGTAAGCACTGTAGCAGCAATTACATTATTCTTTGTCAGCCACTCTTTTTGAAATGGAACAATTCAACTCATAACATTAGAGATATGAAGATATTATTGTTCAAAAATTATCGTTCTAGGATATTTGCTTTTATTTGGGATTATTTCGGAGAAAAAGATGTGCCCAGGTGTTTGTCCCTCACTCGTAGTTGCTATCGTCGTTCCAGATCCAAGGTCATCTCTCTTTCATCCACTACCCAATCTCAGGGACTCAAGTTTGTTTCACACTAATACATAATTTTTGTAGTCGTTCAGGAAAATGTTAAAAAATGTCACCATTCTGAAAGATTTCATGGGAAACAGGAATGGATCGGTTTGAAGGGACTTGAGATTCGAATAAACTTGCATTTTTTTAGTCCACATGACAAGTCTTCTCTGCAATTATTAAGTTGTTTCAAGTAGCAGACTTCTTCAAGCTTTTTATATTTTGGAGGCTAATTGAATTATGTGAAGTTGATAGCTCATGTTTGCAGCTCTAAGTTGTGTTTACGTAAGAATCACGGCACTCTCCATTCTCTCTGCTAAATTCTCAACCCATGATCGTCATTTGCACTTTTGACGAATTTTCGGAATTTAAGAAGAAAGCGGAAATGCAGTGATGAATCTGGCAGTAATAGCTCAGCACTAAGCTTTTATCTCGTGCATTTCATCAGTGAATAGTATCGAATTCATGACAACGATGAAATGATGCTGAGATGATTGTTTCCACTTGCATAATTTTTATTCAGTGTTACTTGTCCAACTATCAATTATTTGTCAATTAGTTCCATTTCATTTTAAAGCAAATTACGCCAAGTCACAAAATGGGAACAAATCCTTATGGCAAGACAGACACCATCAGATATACCTTCTCCATTCCCATTCACCGCACATCGTTATTGCTTCTAAACGCAAGTTTCATTTCTCTTCCGATCACGTACGACAGCGTCTCGTACACTCAAATAAATCTATAAAGAACTTCACTGACACGCTTGCCATCCTACGTATAATTGAACTGATACAATCATTCATACAAACAACACTCTTGCTGCTGATCATATAACCTCTCTTATCTGTAGCATTGTTTTCTTCTTTTGATTTTTTAAAACTTGTCAAATTGGAATTGATTGATTCGTTTGTTCTCTTCATTTTGATAATAAAGTAACAAATAAATTAGATGGAAGTTAAAATTAATAGATTCTCGTCCTGAATAAATTTAAAGATAAATGTTATTCAATATCCAGGTGTTTAGTTTGGGTTGTCTTAAAACGATGGATAAGAATGGGTGAGATCAATCATTATAAACATTTTGGATACACAGTAGTATATAATATTGCGTGAAGACATATACTCTCAGTAAACTACTAGACCGATTGTTGCAATATTTCACTAAATTAAGAAGTTCAGATTGGTGCAGCTCTGGCAGAGCGAAAACGTCACGTTGATCTAAGTAAAGATGGTTACATACAAATCCCAATACGTGTTGATGACGTACAGCGATGGTGGAGCGGTAATGATTTCATGGGATTATATGTGGAAGCATTTTACAAAGGCGAAAATTTGGCTCTGTATCCACAACACGATCCTAAAAACGTTCGTACTTCTCAGTTGCTCCAGTTAGAAATGAATGTTATTGCAGGAACGATTATCCAATTCTGTTGCAGATAATGTATCTCGAACTGACAACTATCGAGGAATGGGGTCGTCGTAAGCGTAGTTATCAGGAAGTATGTACAAAAGAGATGAACGAACCATCCTGCTGTCTGTATAGCCTAATTGTGGATTTCGAAGCTGCCGGTTGGGATTTTGTCATTGCTCCCAAATTGTACGATGCACATATGTGCAGCGGGGAATGTCGTCTTCATCATGTAAGTTGTTTCATTTTGCTATCACTTAGATTATCATTTTATATACAGTCTATAATCTCAGTCTTTTGCCGACACATTTCAATTTCGGAAATCTGAAATCTTCATGAGACTCTTCAACTGAAATCTTTTTAGGCTGGCCGTTCAGCTCATAGTAAAATCACTTCATCGACGAAAAAAAACGCCGTAAGTGGCTGTTGCCACCCAACAGAGTATGATCCGATAACACTTGTCTACATGACTCAAGAAAAGGAGTTGAAGATCCGCGAAGTGCCAGGCATGATCGCCCGGCGATGCGCCTGTGCTTGATTTCAAGCAGCGACGAGACTGAGCGAACCCAAGGTGTCGGGAGCCACGTAATGAAGAAGGGGACGATCATGGAATCATGGTCAACATGCACATTCTGCAGCACCGAAACATCGTTACTGTAACTCCCCAAACTGTGCGCCTGCTGCTGCTTGCTGCTGCTGCACATGCAGAATCCCATGAGCGCCAAGCTTCTGCCTTGCACAAGTCAGCAAAGTAGGATAAGGAAGGGGGCCTGAAAGATATGATCAAATTGGGGGATATTTGGCTGACATCTTGAACGCTCATTTTGAATTTGCTGTATTGTTAGGTATTTAATTGTCAACCATCACACCACCACCACACTGCCGTTACCACACCAACTAGCGATCATTGCTGCATGAATATGGTTGGTTATTCAATAAAAATGATTTTGAATCAATATTTGCATCGCAGAAATACACACCTTCATAAATTTTACAAATCAGGTCAGAAATGCTGACGACTTCAGTGAAGCCAAAAGTTGTTTCTACACCCTTTCCGTATTTTATACGCGCATGCACTCCTTCAAATACTAACTGAATAATCCATCCATCTCCCAAACCTAAATATTATCATTCTCTTTTGATATCAGAAAAGACCGCCACTATATAATCAGTCATTATATAAGCACATGTACATTCACATAGGCATATTCATATTTTTATCAAAATGAGATCGCATAGCACTCATCTTTTCTCTTTCGCTCATATTGGTTCTTGACTACATTCATTGGGATAATTGGGAACAAATATGATTGATTTGCTATCTCAGTGACTGACCAGTAAAAAGGTTACACATTCAAGACAACAAGATATCTTAACGATAAACAAAAACGATAAGTATATATACATATCTATTATTTGAGGCTCAAAGAAATATCTATAACAAAAAGACGAAATTCGATTAATAATATAAGTAATCAACTGATCGAATGAACAAGGCGATAAGGCCCTCTGTCTAGAATGCGATGCTGACCAATTGATGCAAAAATCCAGTCCGCTTTTAATACTTCTTTTTTCATATCCAATTCAAATCTGAAGAAAATACCAAGCCGAATGGAATTCTTTTCAAGTCTTTGTGAAAAATCTCATAAATTTAATTATTCAGATTTGAACTACACATGTTTTTCTTGCAAATATTTTTTTACATTATATATTTGTAGACAAAATTGTCGAGTATACCATATGCATTGAAGGGAGAGATAAGTATATTTGCCGAACAAAGCAAATTTACACAATTTCTAATCACTTTATTTCGTAGTTAGTTCATTCCATTATTAGTTTATTTATAAGCCTTGAGCTGTAGTCATATGTCAAAACCTCAATAAGTATAGTACGCCTTGATGCAAAATAAAACCGGTCCATGTTTCTTCTCGGTTGATAGTATTGCAATGAACAACAAATGACACTTGATTTCTACTGTTTGAAACAATTTTTCTAAAACGATCAACAACAAACCTTCGAGCAGCATCTCGATTGAAGCAATCTGGGGCAAATATGATATAACTGCGTTCGGAGGGAAGCTCCCAAACATGTGACACAGTTTTCCCACCGCTCAATTCAACGATCTCCAAAAAAACATCTGAACATTAGTTATAAAGGATTATTTCAGTAAAATATAAAGTTTCAACAGAATTTGTTCTCTTTAGCTGTAAAAGACGATCATAACCGTCAATACTCACATTTCATTATACCGAATCTACACACTCAGTGAGCGATACTTCTTGGTTTAAACATCTCATTCAACCATTTTAAGTACATTAAAATCCCTCCCAGTATTAAGAACATATATCATAGATTCATGATCTCAAATTGCTCCTTTCTTATACGAGAAACAAAGTTGTGCAAAAAAGATCATATACATCAACAGTCTCCCGAGTACCTATTTCAAGATCATCATATAAATGGATACCTCTTGTTATCAGTTGGGTAGTAAAGAAGGTTTGAGGGACATAAAATATATACCCATCGAATAAAGTGCTCGGATCAGTAAGGGCACGTTGAACAGTTATGCTCACCGCAGTTTCATTTATTTTCAATAAAACTTCGAAATCATCCTGAAATTTATTTACAGACTTAATAAGGTAAAGAGTTCCTTCTATAACTTATAGATTCCAAACTTCGGAATAGTTATTATCCATGTAAAAAGAAAAACAATTCTTTACTGACTGTGGGTAAAATACTTTTTTGGTTGAGACAGTTCTCTAACCACGAATACGACACAATCGTACAGTGATTAACCAATGCGTAAATCAATTTCACTGTCCAGAATTCACAAACTAAACCGTCTGCAAAATTTTAAAACTTATTAGTTTAAAATGTTATTCTGCACGTCACACAAACAAAGTTTAAGCGTATTGTATAAACAAATGGTTTGAATTTCAATTATTCACTACCAGGAAATCTAAATTCTCATCTAGTTGCCAGATGCAAGCTTACCGGTATTGAAAATAACCAGATATGTACACTTTCGATTCACTGATGTAGAAAGCTTGAAAGAAGAGAAATTATCCAAGAATTTACGTAGCAAGGACTGAAAAATTTGTATGTATAAATGAATACTTTTCTAAATTTGATGAACTATAACAACTTGTCTCCTTACCTGGTCACTAAGTTTCGATGCTCCTGATACCATTATTGAATAACACACTTCATTATCTTCTTTATAATATTGTTTATCCTTTAGAAATGAAACAGTGCTTTGTTCAATATTACGATCTTTACTCTGATGCACATCGCTATGACAATTAATTGCACAAAAAGTGTTTATTGGAACTACTTCCATTTCTTCGTCGCTTTCGAGAACCAAATCAATACCATTTTTCGAAGGACCTTAAAATAGAAAAAGAAGGTTACACTTCACGGAGCATCCACAATGATAAAGGACTTACTGTTATCATCATGACGTTCTTTTTCGGCATTTGTGCCAGACATTGCATTGATCAATTCTTCTCGATTCTGCAACTATATGGACTAACAGGACTAAAGCAACATCAAATTTTGTATTCAAACATATATTTTAAATCACTAACCAAATGTAGAAAGCCAGGTATCCATGGCATACATTTGATAAGTACTTCAATCCGGGATTGATTTTCATTTTCTTCTGAAAAAACGTATTAACCATTTATAAAAAAACTAAAAAAGAGAAAAGCTAACATGCAAACACAGCTTGTTTTACCAATTTTATGTAAATTATTCAATATTACTAGTTTATTAGTTGTTAGTTGCACAAAGTTTTTTCAAATACTTTATACAATACCCCATTTCAAAATTTTACAATGCTAATTGAAAAATCGTAATATCTGAAATAACTTACCAAACACAGAATTAACAACTGATTCTATTTGTGCCAAAACATTTGACCTGTCTGCAGTACTGTCCTTCTGAATCTTCTGATCATGCATTGCTGAAAATTAAGGTTCAATCCTTTCTATATACAACGGCGCACACATAATGTTTGCACTGATTCTATATTACATTTCTTTTTCTATCCGTTTGGATCACAAAATTTTCAATATCCTTTTCACCACTGCTGAGTTTCTCAGAGTTCATATATAGTTGTTTAAATAAGAACCTAACCTTCAGTGCCGCAAGAAGTATGCTCAATTGATGATGTTCCCGGAGAGATATTCATGGCAATTCCTGTTGTCAAATTTGAATAATCTGTCCCATCAATCCGTTGCATTTTCACCGGTTTGTTTTGCGAATGGGTGATACGACGCTTCACACCTTTCGATTCTTTTCTTAGCAACTGTAGAATAAAATATCCCTTTTATGTTAAAAGTGGAGTAGACATGAACATTGTAAAACTGTAGTTCACAATATCGGAAATATGAAGTATTGGAGTTTGAAATTTTAAACCAATGATTTTTACACAAATAACCTTTCGCGACTCATTTGGAGGAAGCTGAAACGGCGATGATACCGCTTGCGTTACTGGAATCTACAAATTCTTATTTGAAAGCAATCTCATACAATCAATCTTTTTAATGAAAATTTTTTCAATAGTTCCGAAATTTACTATAAAATTTCATCATTGCCATTTAATGCTTTTTCTTTTTTTCTTCTCGTTATTTCTTTATTTTCTTGACGAAGAAACTAATCCCTTCTCATTGAAAGTGTGAAATAAAAGTCCAGTCATAAGCATATTTGCATATTAACATGAGCTGATGTTTCCACTAACTACAGCTGGTAAAACAAAACGCAAACCTGACTTTCGATAAAGTCATTTTCTTTCGCAAAATCAGTAGCCAAAATATCTTTTTTGAATGCCTTGGCCAGCGGTAAATACTTCCCAAGCAAAGATGATAGCAATGGACAGCTTGCACAACTTCTAAGACTGTATCTTTTGAATTTTTTTTTTTGAAATCTGTCCAAAATTCTGAGCTTTCAATATATTTACAGAAATAAATCTCGTAAGGTAATGTAGATATGTAGAGTAAATAATGCAGAAAAAGTAAAAAGCAGTAAAAACCAAAATCAGAAAAGAAAACCTTTTATTCAAAGTCATATTGCAGATAGGACACCGCATCAGTGAAAGTCTTTTGAAGCACTCAAACAGACAAACTCTATAAATGGCTAAATTTTAATTACTATTCAAACAAAAATTTTCATGTGAAAACGTACATTTTAATAATTTGATTGCCGTTTGTTCCACTGCTTCTTAGCTATTTGAGCAATTATCCCATACTTCTATAAATATGACTGATTGACAATGCCTATACTTGGGATCTATTTACGTTCGAAAACAATGGTACTTTGGCTAAAAAGAACAATGCATCCGAAAACGATGCACAAGAGTAAAAAAATGAATTACCTGCAGAAGGCATGATTACAAGTGGTCATGATTGGATCACGTAAAGTTGAACAACTGAAAGTAAAGCAAATTTGAACATTTTAGGGAAATATCACGAACAACGGCTTTTGAAAAGAATAAAATAAACTAATTAACAGAATAATTTAAAGGAAATTAAAGAAAATGACAGCTTTCCTTACATGTTTTGTTCTAGTTTTTAGAAATATCTCAATGTTTTTTCAAAAAAAAAAAAATTTCCAAGAAAGTAACCATATGCCACATCGTAGAATCATTTTGATACTTTCGAGTTGATCCTTAATTTTTTGGAAGTTGTTCTTGCGTTCATTCTGATTCTCCGATGAAGCAAACATTTTCTAAATCCCGAATTAACTTTATTTTTTTTAACCCCCTCAATGCATAGATCAGTTCCTCGTTAAGACTCGAAGTTTGCCTTTAAAAAATTTGCAATTTTCGGCGTTCATTGCTTCCCTCTCTTTCAGTCCAATCAAATAGTTATGACTCCCAGATCTCTACTCAAACGAACTATACTTGCAAGTATAATTCAACAACATCCCTCAATCTCATGCTCATTTTGGTATGGTGTGAGGTTCATTGTTGGAATTAAAGTAACTACATGACTCCACGTTACCATCACCTTACCTACCTTACTTCCACAAACAGCCTCAACCAATGCTTCACTTACGACGAAATAAACTGAACTGAAGACCCGCCATACCTCCATGCCGCCTTTTACCAATTTCAAATTCAAAAATTTAGATTACGCCCAATGAATATCGTGAGTGAGTGTTCTGAAGAATAGTAAAGTGACGATCTTTTAGAAGTTAAGATTCTGAATCCGAGCAAGCCAGCCGGAATGGAAGAAGGCAGACGTGTATACGACGTGCATATTGTTGCCCTTTTATGAGGACATTGACATTGAATGCAAAAATAAATAAGCTTTATCATCAATTTTCATCTTTATCATCTAAATCTTCTCTCATCACTGAAAATTAAAAAATCAGAAGGGCTTGAAAGGTAAATAAAAGAGTGAGAACAGCAGTCCTTGTCATTTACTAAAGAATGATTTCGAACATCTCACGGCACCTGATCTTCTCTCTTCCACTGCTCAAAAAGGGCTGTATTATTAAGATTGTTATTCCCATTAGGATTCCGCCGAGGATCGGATGCCTTTTTTCATTTTTAAATTCTGTTATTTATACTGTTGCATAAAGATTTGGCATACTTAAGTGGAATTATTTGGTTTAGTTTTCTCTAAAGGAGTAGAATGGAGATTTTATCGCGGACCCGCGAGATTAGGACCACGATTTTTTAGCCATTCCCTTAGTAAACTTCAAAATAAATCTACTCCATAAGCCTTCTCCGCGTTGTTTGGATGTCTAACTAATCCGTAACAATTCCATCCGTGCAGTGAAAGTTAAATGCATTCGTGATGGTCAGACTCAATCGTTCGTTGAACTTTTGAAATGCTTAATGTGTGACATGTAGTAAAATAATCCGGTAAGGAATTGAACCTTTTTTGTTGACTAATCTGATTGCCGGTTTCTTCTTTACCACATGTTTCCCAGATATGATAGTCTCACCAAGATTGCAGAAGTTTTAATAGCAACTTGGAATTTCTTTCAACCAAAATTTTTCCACACATCGAAACTTCATGCAATTTCAATTATCATGAGGCTAATGATGCCAATTTGCAAAAATGCGGGACTATTAAATTTGAAAAAAATTTATTAAAAAAAATCACGAAAAAAAACAAACTAATGATTACTTTCGGTTATTTTACTGCTAGCTTCTGATAAACATGCTTCTACATTTTTATCTTCAAGATGCCCATATATTTCTCAAAACTTCTTCGATCGCATTGTACACTTGTTAACAGTTTCTATACTAACGCAATTTGTTAATGTTTACAAGTTACTTTCCTTAGTTTATGACTCAATTTGAACTGAATTAAAGAAGCTATGTGAATATACTTTTTGTCGAATAATTTCATTAATTTGAAATAAGTGCAAACTAAAAATTAGAAATGTTCGTTAAAAGCCGTATAACAGAACAGAATCACATTATTCAAGAATGCTTTCCAATCTGAAACAGCGAAGTTCGTTTTGCTTGAACGGTGCTAAACAATTTAACAAAAATCAAAAGCGATATTTTTTACAGGTGATCAATGTCATCTCCAATCATCACAGCTCGGATGATTCTGATTATGTACCGAAGCAGTCAGTGCTCCTCGCTTTCGGTACTCCTTACAGAAAATAATTGCAGTGATGTTCGTCATGAAGACGCTCTACGAAATGATCATTCCTTTGACCAGTAATAAATAATTGAAGGACATGTCCCTGTCCATTTTAACTTTGGTCCACTGTTCTTTCTGGCTGCTCTTTAGATATTGAATAAGAAGTGTTTTCAGATTATTGAAAAGTTCTGTGACCTTTTATGGAAAGCGATGAGGATACTGTGGGAAATGTTGACCTTTTTGTTTGCTTCTATGAACACGATTTGATAGCACGACGGTGCCACTCGTTCCATTGTTTTGTGAAGCCAACATAATTGGCTGATTGCGAGTAGAGCAGAAGGTATTCGAGCTTGTTGGTTTTTAATTCTTAAGGCAGAGCAGAGTTGAAAAAAACAAACTGATGTCATGCTAAAGCTGTGTTCCCTTTGTAAGAACCGCAATTAAAAGGTGGTAGTACTTCGATGTGCGGTGAAGCATCACTGTTTTGATCCATTTTGAATTGAACTTTGTAACAATTGAAACGGAACCATCACGCGTTCTGACCAATGAATATTTCACTCCGTTGTTCAACGCGAATGAACGTTCAACCGATTGAAATAGGTTTCATTTCTTTCGATGAAGTGAGCCTGTAACAATTCTATCCCTCTCTTATGCATTCTTTTCTATTCCTTCCTATTTGTTTATCACTGAATTTGTTTTCTGTCCCAAATACTCAATCTTTTCTCCAATCTCATTTTCCTGACACGTATAAATCGCAGTTATTCTCTTCATCTTAATTTCAAAAACCGTTCTTAATCCGTCGCAAATCGAGGATACGTAACCAGCGTATCCTCGATTTAAGGATCGTAACCATCCTATATAAGCAAATCGAGGATATGTAACCAGCGGTAGTTATAAAAGATGCCGGGAAAATTAAATTTGAAAGGGAACTGTATGTATACAGCTCCTCTTTAAATTTCATTCTCCCCATATTTTTTTTTTATAAATGAAATCATTAAGTACGTTTATATAACGAATATTTAAATACGTTTATATAACGTTTATATAACTTTATTTATAAATGAAAAATTAAGTAGCACGTTTATAACGAATCCGAAGACTCGTAGCACCAAATAATTTGGGAAATTAAACAAGGCTTAAAAATCCAGAAAAAGAATATTTGATGCGATCTACGTACTAATATGATTCTTTGTTATGATACTAACAAACTTCTTTGAAAAGACAGAATTTTGTTTTCAGCGATAAAATAGACTATCGGATAGCTGTAAAGGAAATACTCACATAACACTTTACAGTGCTTCTATTTCCAAAATTTAATAGTCGACAACAGAAACTTTGCACTTCGTAGTTAAAATTGGTTCAGACAACGGTACGGTGCATCTCCGGATGTATTTTCCGATTGGTTGAATTTATCAAAATTAAGTTGGGCACTCAACTCACTACATGCAGATAACATTTACAGCCGGGCCTAGCCAAATTTTTTTACAGGAAATGAATGAAATAGTTAGCATTGATCAATATAAATCAGATCAATGTGTTCAATTACTCCTTCTCTTCTTTCGCTGTACAACACTCCCGACGGTGTACTCTGTCGTGAATGATCGCTTTCTCTTCTCTCATGCCATCTTCATTCTGTTATTGCTCTGATTTATTTTGAAAGCGTTTGAAAAGTACACACTATTAAAAATCTCTCTCCCCCTCTCTCTCTCTCTTACTTTCCTTTTTCTTGTAACATGAAAAACATAAAAGGCTGAAAAAGTCAGCTTCTGGGATGGCATTCTGAAAACAAAACTTGTGAATCACACGAAATATCCTCTAAATATATGCGAACAAACAAAGGGTCAATGACATTTGATTTACAGCCAGTATGAAATATGACTGGCTGTAAATCAAATGTCGTCGATGAGTTAGGTCTTTGGATGTCCCGATATGTATATCATGCATGAGGCCTTTGTAAGAGAGCCGTATGGGACGTAGTTTTGCTTAATATTTCCTTGTTATCACTGAGATGGATAGAATGTCTCGGCTTCGCTTCTTCCCTACCAGTACATTGGCCGTCTCTCACTGATCGTTGACTTATCCCGTGCATTTTTCCTTATATCGCAATTCAGGTGAGAAGAAAGAATGATAAATGAATAACAGACGGGTGGATATCTCACACTCGGTGGTTTAACACTTCGTTCCATATAAGTAATTCATAAATAATTGCTCATTACATTCCATTATTTCAAAATTCATTCATAAAGAGGCGAATGGATGTGAAACATAAACAGTGTGATATCCAACTAAATGCTATAAATTATCTTTCCCTAATTCTCTTCACTGTCACCACTTATGCAGACACACAGAGGTGATGCACAGAGGTGACAACGATCAGTTCTAATCTACCGTTGGTCACGTTTCCCATAGCTAGAATGGTACTGTAGTAATGAAATGGAATGGACGAAAAGGACATCGGCAGTCTGTTTTCACCACAATTTAACATTTTCTCAGTTCCCCTTTTCTGAGAAATTTATGTGCTTTCATTTTTTATGACTCAATTTGTCAGCTGAAAAGATAAATTGTTGGCATTGCAGTAGCGAAAGTTAAATTGAGTTTTCTTTCTTCCTTTTTCTTCTTCTCCTTATGCTTCTCGCCAAGTTTACTTACTAGGAATTCAAGAAAAACTGATACATGCCTTTTTATGCTGGAATGAGGAAGCGTAAGAAGGCTTCACTAACGGGCCGTCTCTCTAAGACCCACTCTTTTTTCACCATTTAACTTCTCGTCTTGCCACAAGAATTCTGCATGTAAGCAATGTAAAGCAGCAATCGTTAGTGCTCGTCCGAGTCTCGTCCCCGTCCCAAGTCTTCTTCCTTGCCGGATCACTGTCTCAGGAATTCATTGTAAGAAAAAGCAATATGTGTATTTCGTTCTTCGAATATATGAGGTTTCTCTTTCGGTCAATAACCAATACTGATTGAATCAATTTCAATAAACATTGGTCCGACATTCGAAACGCCGAATTTGTTCTTTGAAATGAAATGCGGGTGTCAGTGGAACTTGTTATCAGTTGCGTCCTACAGCAATAGTTTATCATTGTCAACTTCAGCGATCTTTGGTCTTATCAGAGAGCCTTGATTATTGACTACAGGAAGAAATGATGTAGAAGAGAGCCCACTCAACGCTTATCAGCGACCAAAAGCCAGCCATCTGGCAATACAAATACCGGTATCTTTGTGATAACACACATTCCCTTCCTCCCGTCAGACACTAAATGTTTCATGGACCGGTTTCGGAAATCATCAAATTTTCAGCCATTGTGCTGTGTTGGAATCACCGGTAAGCTGAACTAAGTGCAGAGAGAAAGCTGAAGAGAAATTTCCTACAAAGCTTTCTTAGCTCATTTCTTTGTCCTCGTTTAAAATACAATCCCTACTTTATCCTTTCGTATTCTCTTCTAACGCCAAGAGACATCTTGCTCGTTTCTTTTTTGCATTTATGACTTA